CGGACGCGGCACTTGGTGTGCACTGTTGTGCGCTCAGACCCAGCGGAGCATAAAATGGTCGGCTGTGATTGCATTGTGCTGCAAGTCCAGTTAGACTGCTTCACAAGGAGGAGGAGGAGTAGGAGGAGTAGGAGGAGTAGTAGTAGTAGTAGTAGGAGTAGGTGTAGGAGTAGGAGTAGGAGTAGGAGTTGTAGTAGGAGGAGAGGCCAAACGATGCATTCGGTTATTCGATGCGGTTCGGGCGGTTCTTGATATGTTTTCGATTCGCACGGTTCGGCTCGGCTGTTTATTTTCGGTTCTTGCGGTTCCGGTTCGTGCGGCTCCGGTTCATTCGGTTCCGGTGCGGTTCATGGCCTTCATGTATATAGATCTAGTACGAACACAATTATGAGCACAAGCAAGGGAGCGGCTTAGGCCATGCACAGCTTTAGCCCTGGCATCATGGCAGTAGCTATAAGTAGGGTCTTCTGTGCTGCCTCTGTGATATTTTCCAGTTTGGAAGCAATATATTCCAAGCCAAGGTGCACCACATCGTCACGATTGGCGTTGCTTGGCCAAGAAGGGGAGGTGACATGTTGCTTTGCATTACGCAGCTGCCTGCAAGGTTGTGTATGTGTCATACCTCGGCGGCTACAATCGTGTTGGCGTAGTGGCTGCTCGTCATGCGACTATTCTTGGGTGGGCCTCTTTTTTGAGGCCCGTCGTACTTTTCATTGTGACCTTCTTCGATGTAGTTCCGGGTGGCTGCACCTTCCCTAATTTTTTGACTGCCAGTAGTGCTGCAGTAGTGAGATTTTCGTGTAGGTACCCGTTCTTACATTGTGCCCAGGCTTTCTTTCCTTGATGGAATGACTGTCAAGATTTGTTACTGGCTGTCAAGGTGGCTTTGCCGTGCATTCTGAAGTTGTCCCAGGTCATGGTCCTTCTGGACCCCGCTGACGTACCACTTCACTTGGCGAAGCATGATCAAAAATTAGGTGCCTGTGACACCCCGTGGTCTGCAGATGTCTGAAGCGCATTTGGTTTGAAGCCAAGGAAACTTTGCAAGTACACAGCAGAACAGCTCAAGATGAACATTTGGCAGTTCGTTGCAGACCGGCTGTTTGAGTTCTTTGCAGTCTTGCGCCCCGGATGCCATGGAGCTTCTATACGGAGCATCGCAGAGGGCACTGTCGTGTCCTTGTGCGTAGTCGGTAAACGAGGTTCGCTGTCACCCGCCTCATTATGTTCGGGCCGCGCAGCAGCAAAATGCAGCAACCGTACCAGAAGCAACTGCTGTCTGCAGATTTCAATCCAGTCCATGCTGCACCGTGCCGGACTAGGGTTCAGTCCGAGGTACGTCTGCTGGCCGCATCCCTGGCATGCCTGATGCCTGCGCAGAGCCATTCCATGTGGGCATGATACAGACACCAAGAAGACTTTCGCTGCCACCGTGCACACATCCAGCAATAAGCTGCCGTTGTAGCAACAAGGTAATTGTAACATATTGCAACAATACCAAGAATAATAATGATGATAATGGTATTTAAAAAAGAGGAAGAATAATAGTACTAGTAGCAACAAGGTCAGCTCACATCGAGTCAGCTGCGTACTTCACTCACTCCTTCGCGGCAACCCTGTGCGTCGTCTTGCTCTACCTTCTCATGGCGTGGCACTCCAGATTCTCACTGGGGGCTAGTAGGCAGTAAGGGAATACGTTTTTTTAGAGGTTATGTAGGTATATTCCTTTAGTCCTTATCAACCACCAGTAAGCAGTCTTCTGAACTTCTTGCAGACTGCAGAGAGACCAGCCACAAAGCAGCTGAGCTCAGGTCCTGCAGGTTTACTGGTTTGGCTTGATCCTGAAGGCCAAATGAGCCATGGTCTAAACTCCTTAAAGGGGGTTATATAGGGGACTACTATAGGGGATGCTAGACGGGGGGATACTAGGAGTTTAGTTTGGACTTTGACTCAAATCGCCCCAGCTGTTGCAAAGCTGAAATTCGCAGCGCGGAGCAGGTGGCAATCAGGCTTATGCGGGGCCACTCGGTAGAAGACATTCGGTCGGATGACGAGGATGAGCTTGGGCCCAAAGCCAGCTCAGCCGAACGGCATGGCAGGCGTAGCTTGCAAACTGAGGCCGGAGGAAAAGCAAAGCAAGAAAGAGTCATGAGAGGAGCCGGCGCGTGTCCGCAAACGTCAAAGTCTAGCTCCTTGAGCGGGGAGATGGTTAGGATCAACAACTCTAGTGAGTAAATGCTTGTTATAATTACTATTCTTCTTATTATTATTGGTACTACTATTCCTATTGTTATTACTGATTATTACTATGCCAACTGGGCCTGCGCCCTGCCACACAGTTTCCAATTCGCGGCCCCAGGAAAGCCTGGGGCCTGTGTTTTGCAACCTTTTTGTTTCGCGCCAATGATGCTACGATGGCAGCGCACCCTCCCGGCATGCTATCCCTAAACCATGAACCCCAAAACCCTAAACCCAACACCCCTAAACCCTATATTGATGCAAAATAAAACCTCGCAAGCCTTGCCTGCCTCGCAGCAATCTTACTGGCAAGTCCCTGGTGAGAACTGTTTTAGCAGTTTCTTTTTGCGGGACCCTTTTGCCCAATTCGCCTTTACAGCCTTTGAAGCTCGTCGAGGAGTCGAGCAGCTTCCCAGCCTTAGCGGAGAAGCCTTGCAAAATGATAGTGGTAATAGTAGTACTAATAATTCTGATAGTCATAGTGATACTAGTAATAATAGCATCATTGGAGTAATAGTAGGGTTATATTGGGGTTATATGGGGAAAATGGAAAAGAGAAAGGAAATTACCACACTATAGGTTTATATTTGGGTTATATTGGGGATAATGGAACGGAAAAGAAAATGGAAACTATTATATTTGGGTTATACTTGCAAAATAGGTATCTTGCACAGGTCCAAAAATGGGGATCCCCCTTGCGCATCCAGGTGCCTTTAATTTTCGGGAACCCGATTGAAGAGCATTCGCCTTGTTGGGGGATTTCGCATCAGACTGCCTACCTTGCCAGGATGAGTGCTTCCTGGCTTATTCGGTGCCCTACTCCTACACGGACCTGCCCGGGCCTTGGAACAAGGTTTGGGGCATTTTGGAGCGGGAACCCGCCCTTGCGCCTTCCCCAAAACATTTTGAAGAGAATAATGCCTTCCCCTAGCATTAAACCTCTGATGCAACAGAATATTTTCAGGTTCCCAAAATCCTGAAGAGCACGTTTGGGCAAGGTTCCTTTTTAAACGGGCCAGCTAGCAATGAATTAGGGGGTTTAAAATTACAGGGGTTTAAAGGCTAGTTTCAATGAATAATTAATCCCCTTGAATACGAAAGATTTGTTCACCTTTTCAGGGCGCGGAGTCTTTAATTTTTAGAGGGGAACTCGTTTAATCGCTTCCCCCTAATAATGAACGACGTCCCCCCCCCTCCCCTAATAATAAAT